CTCGGCCGAATGCGATCAGGGCTCAATCCGTAAATGCCTTTAAAGATCATATAGATGAAAAAAGAGCATCTTCGGTCATTTTATTAAATGACCTTTCAGGATAGAGGGGATTGGTTATCACCTCTTCATAAAATATTTTAACAATTTTTTTTTAAAAACAAAATCTCTACTAATCAATTGTGATCTTACTTAAATATTTTAGTTCTGAAATAAGTATATATACTTATGTAAAGTATATATATATATATATATATATATATATATATATATATATATATATATATATATATATATATACACACACACACACACAGACCTCTATGGTGCCCAAGGTCAATTTTTATTTGGTCTCGCAAACTTTAGATTCCTGGGTACATTGAATTAAGCATGAAATTCACTGTTTATCGTCTGTATGTCTATATCACATTACAATTATCTATAATATCACTGCACATAAACACTATATTTGAACTTGGTTATATATGATAAAACGAAAGTACAAATAATATTTAAACTAAATGGAATTATATATTTCATCAATAAAATGTTAATTATGAAGACTAGTCAGATCACACTAATTTCACTTTGCGGGCTTTCTTTTTTGCGAAACTAGAGATGACATTTTTGTGCAATAAAAATCTTGGTAAGGTCGTTTTCAATTGAAATCGCCATAAGGATAGTTCTTTGGTCATTGTTAATTGCAAGCTTACTGAAAGAGCTCCTTCAGCCACTGAGACCGCAATTGTATTAAAAATGCAAAATGCAAATTGATTTGAAGACTTTTCTGATAGATTATGTTGAGCAACTTGATAGAAGAAAGAGATTCTATTTGTTCAAAAGTATTTAATTGCTTCAGAACATCTAGATGACGGATTTCTTCAATCAACTCTTCTTCTTTTACATTATTTACTTAGAGATTTGTCAGGACTTTGCATTTTTCTTTCTGACTATGTTTTTGCTCATTACTAGAAGGAGATGGAGAACACCATATGAACGAAAGTATATCCATCTTTTGAGCTGTATTCATTCTGTATCTTATCTGCTGGAGCAGCGTGTCAAGAGCAACATTAAATATATTCATTTCAAAACCCTTTGATTCGTCTTCATAGAAGTGGGCTGTGTTCATTGACTTGCCGTGAAGTGTTCTCCTATTCCTTGTCCTCTTCTTAACAAATCATTTTGATCCCCATGTGAAGCTTACCCAGATACAACCAATTTCGCTTCTTAGAGGATTTGGGGCCAAGAAAAATGTAGTTGGTCAAGATCATCAATTAAAGTCTTTAAAAACTTCGTCTTGTCATCCAAAGAAATGCTTTCAGATTGAAGAAGGAGGCAGAGATCTCTGGTACATAGGACAGCCTTGAACCAGAAAGAAGTCAAGACAATGAATTCAAAAGATTGAGTCCACTTTTTGAGTGACTTAACTAAAGTCAGTTGATGATCTTCTAAATCAAGTTCTTCAAGAATTTTCAATGACTTCAGTACTTCTTTGGTCATTTCAACAATGGCCAGACCGCCTAGCACAGACACCCTATGCTCACACTCCATCTTGTTTGAGGCATTTGGTGAAGGGACTTCCCAGTTGTCTCAATGGGGCTAGCCCATGGGGCTACTACTAAAAAGGTTATATAACAAGTGAATGTTGTTAAAATAGTTCTAGACTACAGTAAAGGATTCTGCAGAATGAACGCCAGACAGATTAAGACTGCAAGGCATGAACAGAGCTCGAAGATATTTTTTTGAGAAATATGGCCTGCACTCCTTTGTATACACCGGGCGTATTAGCCCTGTTATCATAGCCCTAGCTCCTACAGTTCTTTAAATCAATTTGGCTTTTGATCCAAAAAACTATAATAAGCTTCATATTGTCAAAACCCTTTTTTTTCTCTAGATTTTCTACCTTCAGAAAACGCTCTTTTATTATTCATTGGTTATCAGATCCTAAATGGACAAATCGAAGAATGAAAGTGATTTGTTCTGTATGAGACACGTCCAAAGTTCCATTAATAATAATGGAAAAATAAATGGATCTCTTTAATAATAGCAGCGAAAACAGTTTCACCACATGCCATAATGAACTCATTTTGAGTTCTCCTGCTCAAATAGTGGCTTGCATTCTTGTTCCTTATTTTTGGTGTCAAGAAACTTATTATAAATGGAACTGAAGTGTCTTATTGTGTTTCCATAACAGCTCAAGGGTGGCTAAAAAATTACCATTATCATACTCGTCCAGCATGTTTGATAAGCCTACACAAATATGAACATAATATTGCAATAAAGATTACATCTAGATTAATATTCCAAGCAACATTCACATTATTTTATGAACATAAACTGCTAACACTTCTCGAAAACTTAATTCTCGAAGCTAAATGGAGAGTGACGTCTAGGACGCAGCGTAAAGTTTTATACAACTTAGATTCCTTATTTCTTATTGACTTTTCAAGTTCTGAATCAATCCCTGTTTGATTTTTTAAGGCTTTAAAAGCTGATTTCCAGATGTTGTAGTAATTTCTGTGATGAACATTACACTGGTGCCTTTAAATCTTTTTTTCTAGCATTTGCCAATTATCTTTTATTCCGCCATTCCACATCAAGAAGAAAGACTGAAATTCAGGGCCAAAATTATGCTAAATTGTCCAAAAATAGAGCAGGGAAAACAAACGAAAGCTTTTGCAGTTCCACTTCAGGTATGCCAGTCACTGCTAATCTTCTCTCTGTTAAGAGAAGTTTAGGAAAAAACGGAGGCAGGAATTTTTTTTGTAGAATCTCTAGGAAAAAGTACAGATATTAAATGATCTGTTTTTAATATCTGATTGATGTAAGATAACATACTGATTTATGTAACATAATATTGATAATGTTTTAAAACAATCTTTTGTTCAGATAAGTGTTATGTTAGGGTGGTGCTTAAAACAACTTTTTTGAGAAAAACCTGCTGGTACCCCCTAAATGTGTTTTATCTAATACAAAAACACTAGGTTTAAAATTTTTTTGAACAAAAATTATTTTTAGGGGTAGCTCAAGGCCCTCAAAAATTTGACGGGTCCCTAATATTTTGAAAAAAAAACTTTTTCTAAAGTATGTCAACCTGGTACTCAAAAGAAGCGATATTATATAAAAACTTCAAAAATAATAATCATTTTACATAAAAAACATGCCTAAAAAAAATTATTCTCAAAAAACCTGAAAATATTGACTTTTTTTATTTTCAGCTTAAAAACAATAGTTTTTATGCATTTATACCTGAAAAAATTATTTTTATAAAAAATTATTTTCATTTTTAAATTTTTTATATAATTTTGCTTATTTTGAGTACCAGGTTGACATACTTTAGAAAAAGTTTTTTTTTCAAAATATTAGGGACCCGTCAAATTTTTGAGGGCCTTGAGCTACCCCTAAAAATATTTTTTGTTCAAAAAAATTTTAAACCTAGTGTTTTTGTATTAGATAAAACACATTTAGGGGGGTACCAGCAGGTTTTTCTCAAACAAGTTGTTTTAAGCACCACCCTAGTGTTATGTATTTCGAATTTTAACTACATTTAAATTAGACCATTTGCAATAAGTCCTTTCACGCAAAAAATAGATGTTGTGAAATTTCCATTTAATTTAACGTAAATTTCAATTTCATTTCATATTATAAAATTCTAAAAATCTTACAAATATCTTACAGAAAGAAAAAATCTTTTTTACCTTGCAAATAATCTTTTTTTTTTTGACGTTTGATAATATGCCTGTTATAAAGTTTGCTGTTAGATAAATTTACAATAAATGCATACTACATGCTTACATACATAAATTTTGACCGGAGTAAGGAGAAGACATAAACTTTCTTATCACCGAGCCCCGTTTACATATTGTCTGTGTTAATATAAAAGCAAATATATACATAATCCGTTTTAAAAATAAATTTTTCAAAATGCTAAAAATGTCTTTAAAAGAACGCGAAAATATAGTATATTTCTACTGATTTAAAATAAAAGTAATATAAACATATATATATATATATATATATATATATATATATATATATATATATATATATATATATATATATATATATATATATATATATATATATATATATATATATATATATATATATATATATATATATTAATACATACACATTTTAATTAATGTTTAATGAGACATTCATTTAGTGATAATAATAACTTTTTTTTTCTATTTTGAAGTCTGTTGTAATAAGTTGTAATTATAATAAATCTTTTAGGTTTTAAATTTCTCCAAAGAGTAGTGTTCTATTTATGATTATTGAAAATTATATATATATATATATATATATATATATATATAATATATATATATATATATATATATATATATATATATATATATATATATATATATATATACATTATTTTAAACCTAAACTGTTAAAACCTATTTATCATTTTAAACTTTAACCACTTGACACAACCTTGTAAACCTAAGTTGACATATTATGTAGCGGTAAATCAACATTCATATATGCCTGTAAATAAACTCATCGATTTTAATAGAAATAAGATTTTAATAAAAATAAGTTTATTTGTTTGAATCTTAATGCTTTAACTAAAATACTAAAATCTTTAACAATTTTTTATTATAATCTATTTCTCCATTTCTAATATACACAATTTCATTTTTATCTGCTATACTTATATTCATTTTTATCTGTTATTTCTTTACATCAAAATATAAAGTTGTAAAAATTTACAACTTTATATTTTGATGTAATACATTAAAAATTATTGTCTTCGTGTAATTTTATTATTAGTTTGTTTATTATTATTCTTATTAGTAATGAAAGTCTTGTTACTAAAGACAAATAATTAATGAAATAGTTAAAAACCTTTTTTTTTTCATTTTTCCTTCTTTTTTTGAATTTTAAAGATGGCTTGGCTAACTCTGAAATTGTATACTTAAAGAGAAGGTTTTTTCCTGAAAAACTATTTTTGCAGTATTAATTTTCATCATTTAAAAAAATTTTGAATAATTCTCAGAATTTTTTTTTATTTTTTTAATCTAATTTTGAACCCTTTATTATAAAGTTCATAAGCGAGAAGATCCGATTTCGATCCCAATCACGCCCCTGGTAGTACTGCGCTCAACTTGTTTCTCCATGCAGCAGCCTTGTTCTTTAAGGTTCGTGTTTCTTTGTTAAAGAGTTAAGAGAGGGTTGTTATAACAATAAAGTAGCCTCCTTGACTGTAGTGGCCATCTCAGTCTTGGGGAGGTGAAAAAGATAACATTTGGTGCTTCATATGTTTTTAGTTAGTTGTTAGTTTTTTGTTTTTTTTTTTCTTTTCGGTTATCTTTTTTATAATTTTTAAATTAAATGATGGTTGCCTGCAGCTTTGTTGGAGGCGAGTTAGTATTTTAAAAATGTATGCTTTCATATATTTTTCTTACCAGAACATAAATTAGAATCTAATCATTTTTTTATTAAACGAGCCAGAATTTGGCATAAGAGTTGTAAAAATTTTTTTTTTTTTCAAGTTTAATTTTGCAGAAAGTATTTACTTGTTAGTGTTGTTTTTAATACCAAGTAAATACTTTGTGCAAAATTAAATTTGAAACCGGTTGTAATTTGAATATATTTTATATTTATATAAGTATAAGATTTCAACTTTTAGACGTTTCCAACTTACGCAGAGTATATACTGGTGATATGGGTTTCTGGTCATTTGCTTGCAGAAATCACAGAACCTGAATCGCAACCTTTTCGAATTTTTACCCTATTTCTTATGTCAGCTGCGTTTGGAACTCATATAGTGGCATTATTTATGAGTGCCACTACTCGAGAAGAAATTTTATATGGAAGAGATAATATTTTGGGAGTGGCGTTAGTAATGCTTATATCTCAAATTTTGCTTTTTCTTTCACTAAATAAGATCTTCGGTCCATGGTCAGTAATGATCGAAAATTTAGTTATTGATGTATGCAAATTCCTTGTTATTATGTTTTTGTTCATCTTTGCTTTTACAATGCATACGGCTGTTGTATTTAAAAGAGTGTATGGTCTTACGGAAACTGATGTAACATTAACGACAGCTCCATTTGCTGATAGATATGATCAAAATGGATTCTGGGACATGTTCTATGATAAATTTTTTGGACTCTTTGGATTTACAGAACCTCCTGCTACATTATCGCCTTCTGAACAAGCAACTAATCCTAGATCCACATACATAATTGGGACAATAAGTTTTGCTATGTATCAGATTTTAGCTATAATAGTTCTTCTGAACATGTTGATTGCTATGATGAGCAACACTTATACGAGACTAGACGAGCAGTCTGATATAGAATGGAAATACGGACGAGCAGGTATTATTCGACTTATGACCAAGTCGTACTCTATTCCTATTCCTGCAAACGTGCTAGCAGCACTTTGTTCTATAGTTTATGTATGTATAATTCATAATGGATGCTGCTGTTTGAAATCATGGAAAAGCCGTTTTAAGTCGATTTCAAAAGAAGATCAATCTATTCCAAAAGAAAATCAAGAAAATTTACAAAGCACTATTTGGGATGTTGTTAACTGGTCGATTATAATAGATGAGTATATGTTAAATAATGGAATAGAGGATCGCTTTGCAAAAATAAAAAAAGCAGCTGCAGCTATGTCTGATGAAATTTTGAAGGTTCAATCCTCAACTAATTAAGAAAATTTAGTTAACTTTTTTGAGTTTATCAAAAAAATTATCTTTTTAGTTTATTTTCTGTTTTTTTATGCATTAAATGGATGCGTTAAAAAATAAAAAAATGAATAGTTTCATTTATTTTGTTTTTGAAGTTTTAGGTTAGTTATTTAGAAATTTTAGATATGTTATTTTAGATTTAGATTTTTTTAAAGCAAGTTGCAATGTAAATAGTGAAAAAGTTGATTGTTTTTTGATTGGTTTAAATTTACATTAAAAAATGTATAAAATTAGGGCCCATCCATGGCCGTCTATACTAACAGGCCTCGTAAACGCGTAAATCGGAGCCTGGGGCTGGGGGCAGTTAAAAAAACAACAACGAAAGAAAAGTTAAGGATTACATAAACTTTTGGTCGTAAAAAACGTTTAAATGTTTTTATTTTAATAAAACCTGTTTATATAATAACAAAGATTTAAAAAAAAACATTTCCTAGCCATAAAGGTTTATTTGTAATAAGGCTAAATCTAGAAAAAAATTACCAAGCTAGAGAGATTTTACAAAATACTCAGTCATTAATTAAACAAATACACAGGAAATAGTAATAATCATAAAAGTCATCATAATTAAAACAAATACATAGGAAATATAAGAAACATAACAATGAAGCCACACAAAAACTATATTTTAAAATGTATAACTAGAAATTAAACATTTTTAGTTAAAACAACAAAATTGTAATGACATTTTGAAAATATTTCCAAGCTATACAATATAATATTGAAGTGGTAAAATGTGTATAAAAATAACAAAAAAAATAGAATTTAAAGAAATATATACGTAAAATTAAAGTCGTCATAATTAAAAAAGCAATATATTTGAAAGTTTTAAAATCTTTTGTTGTGGCTCTTTATACGACCTTGGTGTATATAAACTAACATAGTTTTTAAAATATATATTTGAAAGTGAAACAGCATGTTTTCTTTCCATGTTAAAGTTATAAGACTCTGATAGCATTTAATTTCTGATTAGCATTAGCACATTGCAGAGTGACTTTCGGCAGACTTGATTAACAATTTCATGAAATAATATGTAAGAGAAAATTGTCCATTGACAAACATTGTCATTTGGTATTTTCAAACCTCCACGATTTATTTCTTCAGTATAATCACCAAATTCTGCATAATAAAATTTAGCATCTTCTTGTTCTTCAACATCATTTCGCACAATATATCCAGCTATATATACCAATCCTGCTTTGGTATCTATTTGAACACTATTTTTAAGTTCAGGCAAATTATCAAATATATCAATAGCATTACTGCTAAGTAAGTATCCACATTTTTGACAGCTATGTCCACTTTCTGCAGATAAAGAATCAATGTCTATTCTAATTTGGAGACTTAATTTGACTCTTTGAATTTTTACTTTTTCAATCACTTGTTGCACATTGATAAAATATGTTCCTCCAGAACCTTGTCAAAGTTTTCCGAACATTTTTTCTAGTGGGTCAGTTGTAAATTTTCCCAGTATAACATACTTAAACGAATGTTGGAGCAAAAATTTAGTAATGGCAACTAAACCACGGCATGTATGAGCTAAAGCTGCACCTGTATCTCTGGTTAGCTGAAATTGTCTTTTGCGTTGTTTGCTGGTCATTTGTTCTGCCATTGTTGCAAGATTAAGTAAAAATGTCAGTCTAGCATCTCCTGAAGTTGATATAACTGCTCTATCTGGATCTTTATATCGAATATCAGCATACAGTCCTTTTGTATTAACAATTTTCCAGAATTTCACAAATATTTCAAGTAAAGTAATGGTGCCTTCTACTTCTTTTATGTTACTGTTAGATTTTAAAGCAGTTGCAGTTTCATCACAAACAACTTGTAAGCAAGTAGACACCTTTTGTTATTCAATAGGTTTTGGTGCAACAGACACACTTGTAAGTTTAGACAATTTTACGATGTTATTTTCTTCAAGCCTGAACAAACATTATTAGAACAGCATGCATATTTAGATTTTCCCTTCATGTTCATAACATAGCTTTTGACTTTTTTCTGTAACCCAGTTATTACGGACAGATTTAAGAAGATGGACAAAGTCATATAACAAGAACATATTGTCTTTAGTTAACCATGGCTCAACACAATCAAACATTTTAAATAGTGCTTGGTTTACACGGTTATTGTCGCATATTAAGGCTACCGGTATTCCTCCTGCACTCTTTATTCCCCCTAAAACAAATTGAGTTTGTTCAAACAGAAATTTAGAATCAAGTTCACAGACTGGTAAAATTCTGCAAAGATATTGTGGTCCTCCGTAAAGTGATACTAACATAAAACTTAAAACAATAGTTGCTAAAGACTCTGGTTTATTTACCGCTTTACCAAAGACTGAGCCAGCATGATAAGTAAGAGATGATTTGACATAAACTTCGTCAATTAAAATTATACGATTTTTTTGCATTTCATTTTCAAGCTTAGAATAAACTGATTTAAAAAACTCTGTGTCGTTCATTGCAAAATCCAGTTTAGAAGTTAGCTTTGTTAATAGGGAAATACTTGAAAGTTCATAATCTTTCCTTAACCTTCCATATAACGATCTCGAAATTGCAATGTATTCAAATGATCTTACAATAGTTTCTGTACTGTACTTTTTTTTCCCAATAGTAATTGGGCTCATGTCACTGATGTGTTGTAAAAGATTAATAAGTTTAATGCTTTTTGTTAGGTTATTTAGAAAATTTATAGCTTCTTGTAACTTCGAGGAAGAATTTAATATGAAAACCTGTTTTCAGATAGAGATGCAATTGTATGCTTAATTCCACAAAAGTATCCCTCGAATAAAAGATCATTTTTTATTTTGAGCATAAATCTGGCAATGGAAGTGTTTTCTTCAAAGTCTGTTGATTGAATTATTAGCAAATGTTCACCAGCAAAATACCAAGTTACATCAACTAATTCAAAATTAATTTCTTTATTTTGTAACTTCTGATCTAATGATTTAAAACATGTAATCTGATCAGCAGCTATAAACATATCAAGTTCATTGGGTATAATATTACAAACAGATGAAGAAGCTTTAAAGGTTGTTCTTAATGGCGATGGAACACTAGGTATCAAACTAGGTTTTACACATGTAAAAACTGATGGAGGATCATGTGGCCTTTTATAACCAAACTTTATAACTGTAGGATATCCCAATCGAAAGTGTCTTTCGCACACAACTGTATCTGGACTTTCATATTATCTCGTGGAATAACATTTATCCAACGATTATATTCTTCTTTATCATAAGGAAGCCGGAAACTTTTTCTTTATTTTGTTTGTTGTAATTACCATTACAGTTTGTCACGCAACATTTTTTAGGCATTTTTTTGTCTGAAAACTAGATAACAATTGTACTATATTAAAAAAACTTTGTTGTCGCTAGCAGTTATCGAAGATAGTTTTGAAGTTCAATGGCCCCCAGCTCCAGGCTCCGATTTACGCGTTTACGAGGCCTTTTAATACAGAGGGCCATGTATTACTCAGATTATTTTAAAACCGCAAATAATATGTTGCATAACGACTTTTACCACGCGGATAAAAAAATAATTAAAGACAAATGTTTAAATACAGAATATTTCGAAATTGAAACTTTTAAAACCCAATTCAAGCAAAGTAATGATTTCACAGTTATACACATAAACATAAGAAGTATTAACTCAAATATCGACAAACTGAAAAATTTTCTTTCAGAATGTAAATATTCTTTCAGCATGATTTGTCTCACCGAAACGTGGATTGTTTAAAATACAACGAAAACACCAACATTAAAATCTTCTTTGACAATTTATTTCAGCTCAGTATATTCTCACTAACTAACAATCCCACCCGAGTCACCTCAACCTCAATTACAGCCATAGATAATATACTGACCAACTCATTTTTAGACATATCCTTAAAAACAGGAATAATTAAAATTGATATATCAGACCACTTTCCAATATTCTTCTCACTTACGCAAAACTCAGCGTCATTAAATAATTCAAAAATCAAAACATATAAAAGAAAAATTAACAAACCTTTTATTCACGAATTTAAAGAAACCTTATCAAAAACAAATTGGTCAAATGTTTATCTACAATGCGACCGAAGTCTTACAAATTCTGCTTATAATATATTTATTGAAACTTTTCTTGAGCACTACAACAAACAGTTTCCAATTATTGAAAAAAAAAAAAGTTAAATAATTAAGATGTCCGTGGATAACAAGTGGAATAAAAAAATCGTCTAAGAAAAAACAAAAACTATATAACAAATATTTAAAAAATAGAAACAAAAAAAATCTTACTGTTTACAAACAATACAAAAACCTTTATGAAAAGATTAAAAAGAAATCTAAAAAAATGTATTTTTCTAAACAATGACAAAAGCACAATGATAGTCCGAAATATTTCCCTCCAGAACTAAGGAAGATGGATTGCAGTATACAGATAAAAAAACTATTTCCGATAAATTTAACAAATTTTTTATAAATATTGGTCCTAACTTGCATTCAAAATAAACAACTCGAACAATTCATTTAATAACTATCTTACTGACCATACTAGTTTATTTACTGAGAGTGATCTAGAACTGGAGTTGTTCCAGACAAATTAAAAATTGCAAAGATTTTACCTATATTTAAAACTGGAGACACGGCCTTGCTAACCAATTATAGACCTATCTCAATTCTTTCAGTGTTTTCCAAACTCCTGGAAAGAATAATGTACAATCGACTTTATAAATATTTAACAGCCAATAAAATCTTAAGTGAATGTCAATACGGCTTTCAAACAAATCATTCTACGGAGCATGCAACCTTAGACCTAATGGACAAAATTAGATCATCTTTTGATAAAGGAAAATTTGTATTGGGAGAATGAGAAATTTGTATTTGTATTGTATTACAAAAGCTTTCGATACTGTCAACCATAAAATTCTGCTCGACAAAATGAGAAAATACGGTATAAAAAACCAAACTATTTATTTAAATAACACGGTATAAATAACCAAATTAATTATTTATATAACAGACAACAATGTGTTATAATAG